GGCCACACAGTCATTCTCAAATTTGTCCACACAAAGAAACACATGAACGTGTTTCCTTTAATCTAACAGTATCTAGTGTCTGTGTTGACTTCATTGTTTAACTAGAAACATTACTTCTAGGAAGAAAGTTTATGATACTTTTGTGATGAAATTGCAAATACATACACAGCCAAATGTAACAAAAGAAAAAAATTAAATAAGTTTGGTAAGTAGAATCACTAATCTCTCAAATTTTCAGCTTTTTAATTTTTTTCCTTTTATTAAGGCATATACACACAGATCATGAATACATTTATGCATATGTGGGATCCTGTGCATTTTTTTAATACAATTTGGAGTGCTTACATCAAACTAATTAATATAGCTTTTGCTTCATTTACTTGATTATTGTGTTAAGACATTTATGTTCTATACTTAATAGATTTGACTTGTACCCTTGCAATATGCTCCATAGGTGTGGTCCCGCCATTTACCCTCCCTCTATCCTTCCACCCTCCACACCCTTCCCACTCCATTTCTCTCCTTCATCCTGGGCTATAGTTGTGATCTGTCTTACATAAGAAAGTGGGAGCAAATATAAATTGGTTTCATAAAAGTACTGAGTACATTGGATACTTTTTCTTCCATTCTTGAGATACTTTACTTAGGAGAATATGTTCCAGCTCCATCCATGTAAACATAAAAGAGGTAAAGTCTTCATCTTTTTTAAGGCTGCATAGTATTCCATGGCATACAAATACCACAATTTATTAATCCATTCATGGGTCAATGGGCATTTGGGCTTCTTCCATGACTTGGCAATTATGAATTGAGCTGCAGTGAAAAATATGGTGCAAATATCTTTGTTGCAAAGTGATTTTTGGTCTTTTGCATAGATTCCTAGCAGAGGAATTACTATAGTTTTATAGTGTAGTCTATACTCCTAGCAGAGGAACTGCAGGATCAAATGGCAGGTCTATTTTTAGATCCCTGAGTGTTCTCCAAACTTCTTTCCAAAAAGAATGTATTAGTTTGCATTCCCACTAGCAGCACAGAAATGTCCTCTTTTCTCCACATCCACGCCAACATCTGTAGTTTTGGGATTTTGTGATGTGGGCTACTCTTACTGGAGTTAGATGGTATCTCAAAGTGGTTTTGGTTTGCATTTCTCTGTTGATTAAAGATGATGAGCCTTTTTTCATGTGTCTGTAGACCATGCACCTGTCTTCTTCAGAGAAGCTTCTGTTTAAGTCTCTTGCCCACAATGAAACGGGATCACTTGTTCTTTTCTTATTAATAAGTTTGAGTTCACTATGGATTCTGGTTATCAGACCTTTATCAGACGTAACCTGCAAATACCCTCTCCCATTCTGAGGGCTCTACTTGCTTTACTTACTTTGTTCTTGGCTGTGCAGAAGCTTTTCAGTTTGATCTGATCCCAGTAATGTATTTTTGATGTGGCTTCTATTGCCCAGGGAGTTCCTCCTCAGAAAGTATTCTCCCTGGCCAATTTCTTCAAGTGTTTCCCCTGCATTCTCTCCAAGAATCTTTACAGTTTCATGTCTTAAGTTTTTCATCCAGTGAGAGTCAATTTTTGTTAATGGTGAAAGGTGTGGGTCCAGTTTCAGTCTTCTACAAGACGCCAGCCAGTTCACCCAGCACCATTTGTTAAATAGGGAGTCTTTCCCCCAATTTATAATTTTGATGGGCTTATCAAAGATCAAATGATGATAAGTAACTGGGTTCACCTCTTGGTCTTCAATTCTGTTCCACACGTGGCCCTGTATGGCGAGTCATGCCTCCTGGCTCTAGGGATCTGTGAATAAAAACTTCTTCATTCACGAGAGTCATTTTCATGTCTGTGTGTCTTATCATTCCTCCTTAAAACAAATCCCAGGTACCCTGAAAGCTGTATACGTGTGTTTAAGTTAGTGACTAGCATTATTAAATCTAGCAGGTTCCAGTTACAAATCTTCAGAACAAATCTAAAAAAAAAAAA